TATATTTATATATTTACATATAATAAAAAATCAAGAAATCGATTTCAAGAAGCACTCTTCATTGATATCAGTTCTGTTCAGTTCAGTGAGCCCAGTAAAAGACCACCACTATACAACGATCGATTGATTACAAAACTGAAGTAATCAGCCTTCTTTCAGTGACAATATCAATGACGTTTTCAATCAGCATAATAATGATATATTCACAGATTCTTGGCCACTTGCTTATTGCACTTTAAGTGGACAATTACCTTTTAGTTAACGTATCATATCAACGCAATTCAGACATATCATAGCACGTTCAAAACCTCATCGACTTCTCTGAACAGATGCTCCTCCGAAACAATTGATCGCTTACTCAGTTGCTGAGCTACTATTTGAACAGCTTCCCAAATAATGAATTTTAACGAAACCACCCCTCTTCCGCATCAACTGACGGGCAGCGACTCACTGTCTACCTGTACGTTGCAGCTGCTTACTTACTCACTTCATCTCATCGTTGCATAATGCCCAATCACGCACCCTGCCTAACATAGTCATCCAAATTTCCATCCACAAAGAACTCGCTTCCCTTCCCTAACCGTTACTTCCCAAATATCAATAATCCCCATTTTACATCCCGCATCTCCACTGATCTCGTCAACCTCTTCTCGACCTACTCCCACCCAAACGATGATTCGATCTTCTACTATTCTACCATAAGTCGGCCGGACTCTAAATTCAAATTCAATCTCAATCGGACGGTTGAAATATTCGAATAGATCGAAAATATTAATGTGATGATTGGAACTGTGAATGAAATAAATATCACTAAATCACATCACTTAATTTATTTGCTTGTCATACACACGAATCATTATCATATAAATACAGTAATTTTACACGGAAACATTGGAAAACGATCCCGAAAAAACATTGAAACGCAGACAGGCTTGAACGGATCAATTGTGCATAAAAAGTAACCTAAATAAAGCAACGTATTATATAAATCGATTGACTCATCCAACGAACTTCTCGAATAAATGGTAAAAGACGAGAACTACCACTTCATAATCGACCACTTTCGATCAATGAACTTACTGTGGTCTTTTCAGCATGACAATTAACATTTCCTCGCGTATTACTTCTTAAAGGATGTCGAACCTGCTCTATACCCTTCTCTCCACATAAAAGCTTACGGCTAATCATAAACTAGTGCCTAATGATCAGAAATCATTAAACGCCTTGGCCGCCATAGATATCAGTTCATTGAAAATTCATATAGGAAACTTATCTGATACAAAAAACAACAACAAGAACAATAGAAACTGTTAGAAGTAAACTCGTTTCGCATCTGCAACAGACGACTCAATTGGACAATACGGACATTTCAGTCGGATATGATTAAAATTTGCAGATGGCGACAAATGAGCTGGATGGACGAAGCGTCCACTTTGTGCGAGTTTATGCAACGCTTCGCGCGAGATCACATGTCCACAATTCAAACGCATTGGTGGATTCAGTTCAGTGCATTGTGCCTGAAACGTTGTTTTTTGTAAAAGTCTACTTCAGAACATTGCTACTGCCCACTATATTTAGTCATCACGTTAACAATAATAATCACACCAACAATAAAATCAACACTCACCTTAAGAATGGGACATGCAAAAACGGAATGTACATGATTTGGTACGTCCACTTCAATCGGTAATTCATCACCATGAAATAGGCTTTCCGGTGGCCGATTCACCATCATATTCCGAACCGTTATCAATGAAGGCACCGCTTTGATACCCGTTTCTAATCTGAACAAAAATTTTCCGCAAAAACTTCAACTATGTATCATTGATGCATAAAACTAACTAAATGAAAAAAATGCGAATGATGAACTGATGATGTAACGAACTCACATTTGACTGAGATGATCATCAGAACGTGATAAAACACGTGCTAATCGAAGCTCAAGTTGCTTCCAGACGGCCGGATTGAACAAATTCGGATAACGCTTCTCACGATCCTTCACTACAACGGACCACATCAACGACGTCAACTCACGGGTTCGTTTTGACAGCTGACGACCATATTCGAGCGCTTTCATTTTATTACCTTAAACCTTAAACATCAATAGAACATTCCTAGTAAGTTCATTTTTGACCGACAATTCAATCTCATAGCACTAGTAATTAAGAACAGTAGCTGCTATTTCATTTAGGACAAAAAAGAATGAACCGATGTGCCAGACAGACGAAATAACCTTCTTGAAGAAGTTTGATGAACTGTTGTTTTTGAAGGTCAAAAATGAGTGCCTCTTCTTCGGGTGCATTCGTCTGCAACCATTCGAGCGCAGGTCCGACTTCCTTCCTTGCCAATGCATCCACTAAATGACGTACACCACTCACATCAACCAATGGACAATTCGACTGAGGTAGTTGTGCTTCCTAATTGATCAATTAATTAACCCTTCTAACAACTGAGGCGATAGATAAGCGGTAACTGGATGCAGAAGCAAACCGACTGAATCCTAACAACAACAATAAACGAACCTTGAGCAATGTTTCAGCAACATCAAATTTACCCGTACCAGTCAGATGATCAACAATGAGCGCATTAACGCGGTTGTGTAATTTCGGGTCTGTATCAAAATTCTTATCCACTTTCGTCAAACAACTCAGATCCGAAACGAAGTGTCGTTCAATTTCTTTGCCCGTTTTTGAGATCAACGTATGTATTGTTCGGTGTTGCAGTGCCATCTTCAACAAGTTTGATGGAGAAACATAATCGTTAAATACTTTATCATTCAGCATCACCATACACATACATTTATACACACAACAACAACATTTATTTCATTAGTCACCACTGTTTCCCAATGCAAACGAAAAAATTATTTCAACGAATGAGGGCAATGAGATGGGAAGACCGAAAATAATAATTATAATGACACGGATAAAAAACGATGGCAAAAATTACCTCTGCAAGTACAGCGTTAAGTTTGGTGATACTCTGTTCGAGTACAACTTGCGCCGTTACTGATAACTCAGAATCGGGATCAGCGTTCAAAATCAGCTCATTGTAGAGCAACCGTGCCTGTTCGATTTGTCTACTGATGGCCGGTGTCCAGTGCTTCTGATAATCCTCAAGCCGTGCAGTGACACGCGCCAACTGCGCGCCCACTACATCGACCATAATTAGGTGACACGACCACACGACAATAGTGAGGCGTGAGTGGTACCGGTATAGCAGCAATGATAATACACACGACTGAAATGGTTGTTTTACGAGCACCAACTGCTTTCATACAACGCATACGCAACGAACGCGACCAAACAGCACATCGAATATTAACAACTAACAACGAACACAATATGAACGGCACAAACACCTAACTACACAACCACAAGTGAAACAAGCCAGTTTTTCAGTGAAACAAACTAAGTATATGCCTAAACTGTAGAAAGGAGGATGATGGTGGGTGACACAAGCAAGGCAAAGAGCTTTCACAATGATCTCAGAGAGTAACAGGCATTCTGCAGATCACAGTGAAGGCCTAGTGCCCGTGCGGTGCAACAACAGATTTCATAGCCAACTTGAAGAAATTCCAATGACCGAACCGTACGCGATGAGTTGACTTCGATATATGAATAGATGCAGATGTATGGAAGGATGACGATACAGGTCGCCTTACCGTTAGGTAGTAATAATTTATTCTTTTCCTAGCCTTAGCCAATTTTAATTGATTAAGACTATCAAAAGAAGTAGAAGTAGGAGCACATTGCTGTAGTAGAGCATAGCAGTACCGTTATAACGACAAATACCACAACAACATATCGAATGCGAGTTGAATTCAATTGTAGAACCGCGTGCCGGCTGCACACCACAACACACTGCCGTTTAATGCAACACGCCCTTCACAGCGGCTCTTCAGGGGAGGCGGATCCTGTGCTCGTACCGCGTTGCACACGTACCGTATCGTCAGACTGCAAGCACCCAGGCACTGCAGTGACCTTGGAGATGCAGACACAGAAACACAAAAATTCCTAACGCCATCTCACTCTCGCCAACATTACAACAGCCCAGCCATCTCACCTCATCCCAAATCACGATCATCTTCCTCTCCAGTCAAGCAACCAACTTTCATACTACTAATACAGATCAGCAGCATTTAAAATTACATTCAACACACTACACTCGGCCATATTTCAGTTCAACGTTTCATATCAGCACCCCTAAGTGCACAACACAACTATATACAATACCTGCAGCGCTGAATACAACTGACAGCAACTACCACCAGTTGCAGTACCAACTCAACTAAACTATCACACCTATACACACATTTGCATTTATATACACCAGCAGCATACACCCGCTATATTATTACTATCATTCCTACCAACTAACTCAGAAGCAACCAACTAAGTGAAACGCCACTTACTACTAACTAACTTTTCATTTGATCACCGTTATTAATACTCGCTTCTCTTACAGCTCAGTACAATTACTCCAAGTCAAAAAATGTTAGCAGCACACTACACTCACAACTACGAAACTTTCCTACTAGTTATATAACCCATTTCCCGTTGCTATTTTATATTGCATTCTATTTGTTCTTTACTGATGACATGAGAAGTGGTTTGTGCTGCAAGGTATGTCTTCTTCATGTGCCTGTGTGCGTTCATCACTTAAAACAACAACCTCGACAAAAAAATAAATCACACAATTACATCACGTCTCAGCTATCTACCTACCTACCTACCTCCTACTAGCATCCTCCTGTTCTGCTTACTTAACAACAACTTTAATGCTATTTCGGCATATTATCCTGTTTCTTGACAAGGAATTTCGTGCCACTACAATATCACCTCTGAACGAAAACAATCAACGGTGAATGAAGAAGTGAATGTTTAAAAAACTAACAGAAAAAAGTCTGAAAAAGTGAAATCTTCAAGAGGAAACAGTCAAGCACAACCGGCAGGCGTAGATAACGTGCTGTTGTACGTTAGAGCATGCAGATGGTAAGTGGTATATTACTTTAGTTGAAAAAGGAACAATATTCAAACACATACACACTTGTTGTCAACTTAGCAGGGAAATGATTATTGCTGTACGATAAACAAGACAATACAACAACAACAACGTTATACGTGTACATATAAATGACCACGTTTGCTATCTTATCAAACAGATAACCAAACAGTATAGATTATATTCATAAACTAAACAAGCACAGACACAACATACATCTTTCAATTAGGCAAATTTCTGTCATCTTCGTAACATTACATGATGTGAATGAATGAGATAGATTGAACACATTATGTCAACGACGTATATGATTGACTGTAAAAACATTCCAGAAGAAAAATCAATCACATAAAGTTTTACGACACGATATATCGCAAATACTAGCATGTATATATAGTTGATCTGATCACCGTCTCTTCATCTATAATACATGAAATCCACCTCAAGTATACCCTGAATCAGTGCCTACATTAGAATAGTTTTCATTCACCATTCATATTCTGTGATATTTGCATTCGTTTGCACTCACAAATCAGTTTTCTCGATTTCTAGTAAGTTTTTTTCCGACAACAATCGGTCTATTTCATTACAACATCACAACAGTATGCTGCGTATACACATATTCACATCAACCAACACAAACACCTACACACTCTACCGCTATCCATTCTGCAGTATCAGATTAACTTTGATGATGAGCAGTATAAAAATGATGCAATCACAACCAAAAAATCAAATCAAATCACACGCAAATGCATAACCGTACGTACTTGCTGACTGAGCTAATCAACTGCTGTGCTTCATGTACATACTTGCTTTCGTTCATTTCATTTTCATGCATATATTTTCATATTTGAACTTCTCTACGTATTTTAGTGAATAAATTGGTAGGTAGCATCGAATAGTTAGGCATTTCGTGTTGTTATCATTATACGAATGGTGGTCATATACTATTGGCACTTGCAAAACATGTATAATATGATATCGATACTGTACTGAACAGTAACTAGGGGATAGGCACAAACAAACACACATAGCAGCACATCCAGACAAACATCGAACCGTTGGCTGAATTGATGACGATGAACAGCATTCGACTTGCAATCGAGGTAAAAACTGCGAACCAGTTATTTACGGATCATTACTATTCAGTGTTCCAAACTGATTGAAAGGCTGGTTTCGACATTTTGTGGTTCACATTATTATTATTAGTCAACGAGTGAAAAGGCAGTTTGCGAGGGCACTCAAACCCCATCTCCATCTGTTATAGTTCGCTCATTTCGTATATAAAGTGCCAACCAACTACACAAACCTTCAAACTAAACCATCTTCTCAAAGCAACCGGCCGTATGATTACGCAATATTTCATAAATCGACGACCAAAACAACCACATCTGACTGACTTCCCATACCAAGAAACGATATTCCTTAATTTCGAAGCCATCCGTTCCTGCACACTTCATGAAAAAAGTAACGGCCGTTGTCTTAAAAGACGCGCAACGCCGGAAGCATGTTCCCCATTAGTAGCCTTCTATACAGTTGCTAAATGAAAATTTTTCTTTTAGTGGCCACCCACCGAACACGTTATCAGTGGCTATCCGTAAGGCAAAGTTCGATTCTCGCTCTTTGATCAATACCGAACGACTAGTCTCTTGCGCTTCCGGACAGTGACCATCGATCTGTACATGTACAGCTCATTGAAATGTGCATCAGCTTACTAATGCAAAAGACGGAGAATACGAATATGTAACTTCTCATAGATACATCATGCTAGCTTAAGATCGAAGGAAAAAAGAAGTAGAAAATGCGAAACAAGAAGAAATGTAAACATGGATAAGCTCATGAAAACAGTATCAATAGATAGAGTCAACGCCAAGACTGAAAAGCACAACACGATCGGGTGGAAGTGAAACGAAAGTGCGAGCTGCGGCACGAAAAACTGCTTATGATATGAAATATCATAATTAATTAAAATAAACATCAACGAGCAATTGATCTCTCTGTTTGCAAACCATCAACAAGCGTATCAGCATATGTGATACATTCGTTCATCAGCGCTCAGCTGATCCGGCAGTTCACAGCCAATCGATAGAATTCGAGCAAACAATGCAGCCGATACACGCAGCTGGTGAATTATAGGATGCTGTATGCATTTGCCGAACACAGTTTTCTTCTTGGGAACCAGTTAATGTGTCAAATACACAATTGTGCCAGAATACAGCACTGCTAAACTGATACTGGAAAGGAACGAGGAATGCGCCTAAACCTTACTTAGCTGTTTTTTATCGCTTAATTCATAAAGCATACACGCAAAGGCTGGGTCATATCAGAAAACTTTGGAATTATTATGAAAGGTCTTGAATTCTGAACTGATTCAAAATCGAAATTGCATTTTTCGGTTTCCGAAATTTCGAATTAATTTGACCTATTTCTTTTTCGAGCACGAAATTTCACTGTTGAAAGCGACCTTTCCGTGGAATTTCTCGAAATGCTGCAAAAATTTCGGGATTCGAAACTGAGAGTGGTATACTGATAAAACGACGTTCGCAATCCAAATTTTCATACAATTTTGTGCGTTGCAAATACGTTGGAAGTTCGGTTTGAGAACACGATTCATTCCAGCAATTTACTCGTAAACCAAACAGTTCCGAAAATCGATGCATGATTCCTCACAGTAATCAATGGAAAATGAATTACATGCAATCACTGATTCCCAACTGACATCTTTTTTGAAAGTTAGATTTGATCGTAAGTCAGTTAGCACAGTTATGAATTATCACAAAACATTTACGCTTCAGTATTTGGTTTATTTTTCTCACTAGTAATGTCATCATGAAAAGATTTGATGCTTTCAAATGCATTTGAATAACATATGAACGTGATCGTTTTAGTAAGCCGAATAACACCGAAGCTGAGGTCTCAGAGCTCTGGTATTATTAGAAAATGTTTTTATGGTCTACATCCTCGATGCAAACGTTCAGTGAATTATCCAATTCATAGATAAGCAGCGGTGCACTAATTTGAAAAAAAAAAAAGTTGACCTCACTCTGCCCTAGCTTCGCGTTTCTAAAATTTTTAACTCCGGCTACACATTTTTTAAAATGTCTGCCACGACTTCAGCTCTGCATTTTTCAATTTTCAGTTCCGTCTCCGACCCCACACATTTCAATTTTTCGACTCCGGCTTCAGTTTCGCATTTCCGAAAGTTCATCTCGTGCTCCAGCCCCGAGTTCGCATTTTTTGAAATCCCAGCTCCAGTTCCAGCTCGGGCTCCTCGTTTCTAATCTTTCGGCTTTGCATTTCTTAATATTTCAGCTCCAACGAAAAGATTTCAAACCTAACGCATCAACAGTCCGGTTGTGAGCCAATGAAAGAAAACGAAGAAAAAATGACCACAAAAGAAAAAACGAAGCAGACATATTTGGATCATCCAAGAGAGGTCCCTGACACTCAATGACTGATGATACTTTATTTTGCGGTGATAAACGAACGGAATCATTTCAACTACGGATAATTATTTTCTCCACAAACTTACTGCATTCTTTTTATAATTTGTATGCAACAGCGCAGCACAAACATAAGCGAGGACCGATATGTACTAATATCCCTCTCCGATTTTTTTGCACCGATGATTGACCAGTTTTTACCTTTCTCTGACCGGTTCAAAAGCACTTGCTCAATAGAAGCTTGATCTTTACGCAACCGATTTGCTAGGAGATGAGCGATCGTCAATACACTATGTTATCGCTCGATCGAACTGATCATAAACACAAGGTCCTGCCTCTCATATACACAATCCTAATCCATGCAGATTCAAAATACGTCACAAAATCCTTAAGCATACCACCAAACTTTCGGTTAATGAATCGCAAACGAAACCAGTAATATCGATCACTACATAGAATATCGAAAACAGTCACAATATCTTCGATAACGATTTTTTTTTCCTAATAAATACAACAAGCCAAAGCAAAACGGCAGTGTCCCATCTTCCTTTCATTTAATACCAATTCCAAGAGATTTTCAGCCGTATGTCCAACTCAACTCGTATACAGTTAACGACTAATATGATGAACCAATCATGGTAAGTCAGTGAACATCTACTGAAGTGTCATATTTCCTTTTGGAGCACCTTACTGATTCCATTACGAGGCATATATTAGCCACGAAATGTAGAAAACTGCGACATCACTTGAGTGCTTTTGGATACAGGCAGAACTGAACATGCCTACCTCAACACATCTGCCAGTTGGTATATGTCAGTGGTCCCCATGCTCCATTTCTCCATCACTCCCCCTCCCCCCCCTCGATGGTCCGGCGGACCGTCATTACCCCTCCTGCTACTTCTTCAACGCATAACATCACAACTAATTTCCCAATCCTTCTATTACCCCCTAACACCCCCAAATTATCCAAAAATGGGTAACTTCCCCCTTTATTGAGACCCCAGGTATATGTAAACCAGCTGAGTTGGTGCTCAATTCTTGATGAGCAAAAGTGGCGATGGCTTTAATAGTTCTATTAATCAAATAAACAATGATAGTTGTTAAAGTATTTGTAGAAACATCAGAAACATAGCAAACTGTCAAAATAATACATCAATAAGACCACCGAGTTAAACAAATTAGAAAATATCACTCCGTGCAATCAATATAAAGGAAGACGGAGATCAAATCAATTGGAAAAGGAAGCTGGCAGTTTTCATCAGTTCTCCCATCCATTCCATATTCACGTATTCTACTGATTTGCAAGCGCCTTCAATTGTCTAACGATCGTATCCAATAACTTCTTACGATCCTTCTCACGACCTTTCGCGAAGAAACCCGACGATTTTCGCTCAAATTCGATCATTCTAAAAATATTTCATCCCATTAATTATATGTGAACGATAAGATCTCCGTACTGATATTAATACTAACAATAAGCATTCAATAACAACACAATTATAGTAATACTACTAATAGGTATAAATCTTTAAAAAACTGTACTTTTCAAGAACTGTAATTGCACTAGACGCTTTCACCCTCGAATATCTGCTTTCACCTTTTCCATAGTCAGCCAAATACGTTGGCCAATCAGCTTTCATAACAAGGTCCAATAACTGGCGTAAACTTGCAAATGTCATTGCTAATGTCGCATCCTAAATTCAATCTTAACATTAACAATAACTATCTCTCTACTAATCAAATTTACCTCAAGTCCAGCCACAGGACATTGCGAGGTGAAAAGCTCGCACTGAATGACGTCTAAATCGAACTGATCCAACGCTCCCATACTAACAGCTTTCAGGTCGGGTGAAAGTAATAAATCTGTTAAACGACTTGCTAGATACTTGCAAATCTGAAAAGTTCATAACAAACACATCAGGTATCATCGTGCACACAATAACTGCAATATACCTACCTGCATACACACATGACGCGCAAGTAATGCTGGAAGATTTGTAAATGATAGAAACGTCGTTTCTAGAAACTTTATCAAATCTGATATGTAATCACTGGCACGACCACTCGAACTTGATAATTCCCAGTCGTAGTTGGCTGTAATCAACAATAACTGCTAATAGCAACAGTACTTATGTGTGTACATCCCCAGTACAAAGTAAAATGAAAACCAAAAACTGTACAATAGTTAGCATCATCTGTTCTTAAATGTATCCCTTTGCAGTGCACAATTGGAACGATAAATAATTCGCAAGGAAGGAACGTACCTAACTCTACAAAGGCGTCAACTTTATCTCTGAGAGCATCATCAATTTGTTGCTCGACCTCAGAACGTGCGTCGCTGAAGACATATAACAACAATAAAAATGTATGAATACATACGTCCGCATTGCTCATTTAAACAATGAAATACTGTGAAGAAATAAAACTATAAGGGATGAATATGATACCAACCAATCAAACAATCAATCATGAATGACAAAAAGCACATATATAAATGAGTTATAAGCAGCAGCAGTCTCACCGGAAGACTTGGTCCTTGAGTGTGAGTAAATGCCCCGAACTCGCTGTTGAAATGGAGCCATCGTTGCGACTCGTCAACTTGCTTATGTATTGCTCTAATGAGCCACATGATTTTTCCAAATAACCAATATTTATCGTAATTTGTACCAACTGCAACAGCAAACATTTCGTTAAAATGTCTTATTGCTAGATGCAACAACAATCTGTTTTGAATCGATAGCTATCGACTCATCCTTATTATTGTTCATTCAGTAAGTGAGAACTACTCATTGAAAATGTTGATCAGGATGGTATACCTGAACCAGAGTTCGTCGTTTGCTAGCCACAAAACTTTTAAGCGAGCCCGACCATCTGGCTAATAAAACGTTCGCGTAACGACGCACAGTATCGTCCACCTACAAGTTACTACCATCGCACCGTAGAAATCCGATCGCGTGGATTTAATTCGCAAAGCACTCAAACGCCTTTTTGAATCACAAAACGAGCACAGCAACGCACCTCTGATGGTGATAATTGTAAATGTTCCATGAAACGTAAACATCCAACCAAATAACTCTTCGCTTGGCCATAAACTGCTGGAACGAACTTCGAAAATGGAAAAACTCGTGGATACACTTCCTAAAAGACAACAAGTTCAGTGCAAAAACGTTTATATGAAGGGCAGTAGCTGAATTAATAAAGGTAGCATCAAAATGCTAACAATGACCAAACAACGATAACACTGCATTAGTAAAAATATTCTCTTGCCATTTTTAGAAACAATAAGAAAAATATTAATGCGAGATGAACCTGATCCAAACCACGTTTATAGAATGGAAACTGCGAGATGACCGACTTGAACTGTTGTTCATCCTGGGCAGTTATTGGCGCGTAGTTATCATTTTCCAAATCACGCTCGAACTGCGCGCAGTATTCTCGCATTAAAATCTCATTATACTGATCTCTAAATCAAGCAATGAACATGAGACGATGATCGAAACATGAAAATATAATAATTTAAATACGACAAATCGTAGATGTACATGCCAAGCTATCGACTATTGTTTGTGACGCTGCATTTTTTGAAGGGCTAACTTTTATCAGTCAATAAGACAACAGTATTTTGAATGTTCAGCTAGTTATGCCTAGGCAGATAAAGACAATCACATACTGCATTTGCATTGGATTTCAAAGTTTGAATCCATCAAGAATTTTCAACAAACGTTACGGCCCTTTGCTCAGTCCCTCCCTGTAAGCCTATAACTCTGACAGAATTTATTTTTATCTATGCGCGATGCATGAATAATCTATCAGAAACACTGCTGTCAACCAAACTGAAGCAAAAAAACAAAACTGCCAAAATATACCTGAAGTTTTGCAGCAGTGTATACAACGAGCCAATTCCAAAACCATAACTTTTCATCGTTAAGGCAAATAGCAAAATAACTTTCTTCATCCTTAGCATCATTTCCACATCCAGACAACCGCCCTGTAAGATCAACGACACCATGTAAGAATGACATTAAACAGTGACAATAAGGCAGTAATAAGGCTAACTTACGAAATGCGTGTTCATTGCAGTCGTAACCTGTTGCAATGCCATCTCCCAAAGTTGATCCTTGTAAGCCGCTGTGACAAGACTCGGTTCAGTTTGCATTATATGATCTTCGATTACGAAGAATCCAATGATTTCATCCAAATAACGCACATACGAATGGATTGACTGTTGCTTAAAGTTGAACAAGAATAATTTCGATGATGTGTATTTGATCAATCACGAGCGATAAATGATACTTATCATCTGAACTATTATCTTGTGAGGATGAAAAAGTCGGGGACCAAATTTTGCGATCAGAAAACCCTGAAAATGCAGTCGGCTCCAAAGAAGTCGGGGATGGGGTCAGAGTTGGGTCGAAATTTCTCAGTCAAGGAACCCTGAAAAAAAAAGCGGTCATGAGAGCAGCTGAAAAAGAATACAGGTAAAAATCGACTTGTAACGCTGGGACTCAACATGAACCGTACTTACGATGCTTTAAAGTATACCTGAAGTTTTGCAGAAAATTTTGGGAAAAATCCAAATTGAAAGAAACAAAAACGTCTGCCTACCAATTTACTTGGTGGCCGTATAACAACGGCCGCTTGCTCTTTACGTTGCTTCCTGTAGTATGAATCAAAGATTTCTTTTGCACCCTGAAAAATAGCACTAATGATAATGACAACTAAAACTGACACAACAAAATAATCTGAAACGAACCAACACATTGAAAATTTGACAACATCGATGCACGGGCGTGAAATCGATTAAATCTTGCGCACTTAACAACTCATCTTCATCGTGCACAGAAGTACGACCAGTCGAACGTCGACGCTCCGTTTTCGACTCATTTTTCAGCACAATTGAGCCGTCTGATGATAATTCTGCAATGTAATTAAAATGTGCTTTCAAATTCTCTTGAATAACAGTTTCCGTAGTTGAACTGCTAAGCATCTACCGCATTCCAATACGTATCGGCTCGAAGCAACCCTCTTACTTTTTACAAAGTCGATTAACTTAACGTCAACTATGAACCAAACATTGCAAGGTGTGTCAGCATAAAATTCCATCAAATTCCTAACCCACTGAAACATTTTCGGCGTTTCGTTTCGCCTCGTCCTGAATTCGTTTATTGCGTTCCGCATCCGACATACCGAATGAATGCTGTTCGGCTGTACATTTCGACGCATGTTGACCAATACGCCCTTGAAACAAAAGTATCATTCATTCAATCAACAACAAATGTAATGAAACAATTACTTAATTCAACAACAACAACCAACTAACATGACACTTTCCTGATATTCTCCAGAAAGTCCGTAAACTCAGAGAATGATTTCTCTTTGATTTGTTCGCGAATCGGTGCCATTGACTTATACAACGATTGTGTAAAACGATACTTGTCAACGTGCACCAAATAAGTATGCTCCAATTCTTCCAACACTTTTAGCGCTTGATAATATCTAGGCAAATTTATTTTATTTATCAATTATCATATCGATGATCATTAACAAACAACATAAAGTTTACTTTTTTTGCTGCATCAATTCATTCAGTTTTGCATAATGTTCGAGTACGGGTATACACAATGAAATATGTTCAATAGCCGTATTTGCATTCTTTTGTAACTTTCGGTAACGTACAATTTCAGCACTCTTCTTCTGCAGTTGCTTACTACTCTCTTGAATTGCCCCATCTATACTTACCACATCATCCTGGAATAATTTTTTAGAGAATGAACTGAAAAATATTTTGACAATAACATTAGTGATATTGGCGATAACAACAAGTGATACCGACGATAAGAATAATAATGAAAAGGAATAACCTTAATTTCGAGGCATCTTGATTTCAACTGAAGCAACTGTTTCATAGAATCAATATGCCCTTGATAATGATATGAACAAATCTTTTGAATATTCTTATCGTAGTGATGAATACGATGCTCTAAGGCACGCGAAAACTTGTGCACGTCACCGCAGTCGTAGATGGCCCTACAATAACGACAATATTACTGATGGTTACACAAAGTGAAATAAATGCGTCCACGAGACCAATAGTTCTAGGATCACTATCATTATCATTAACACCAACGTCGAACTCACCGAAGTACAAGACCAATACTCCCAGAGTCTGTCGTTTCCAATTCATAGAGGAAGAATTCTTGTTCAGCGCTCAGTTCAGGATCTGAATAATCCGTTTATTGGGTGAGTAATTTTCATTAATATTGTTACAACAGGAAATAGAATAAAAAATGTCGTACACTGCTGATATGAAGTTGACGCCGTATCACTGCTTCCAGTGCCAGTTTCCTTTGAAATGCTCGTTGTCGAAACACCGTCCATCACCCGCACACAATCGGTATCAATTGTGATTCCAGTTCAAACACACTAATTTCACTAACTCTAATCAATTAGCACTTTGTATCTGTAGTAAATTAAAACGAATACGCATACACGTAAAAGATAAACACAATCGATAAACAATCTTCAAATCGACACAAAATGGAATATTGACTAAAAACATAACGTAAATATGGCCCACAATGAACAATGTTGAAATTTTTTATGGTTCAATATCTATAAAACTTTTCCGGATTTTACGGGAAGACTGTTGATAAGACGAAAGGCGGATTGTAAGACCATAATGTGCATGCTATCTCTATTGTAAGGCTTCGTTTTCACATCGATTTCACATGTTTTTGCATTTGTGAGTAAGCGAACTGTTAGACAATTGCAGCCGCAGTCAGTTGTTGGATATGTAGCTTAAATCGTGTTCATCCACAGATATCAGTTCAACTGGACTTCGGGATTGTGGGCATTGGTTTCTTTGTTTGTTTGTTTTTTTAATACATAGATATTTTCGGTGATATCTAATCAGCAAAACCTGAAATAATACCAGCTGGAGATGCAGTCAAAAAATTGATAACAAAAAGCGATATCGAGTATAAGTTGGCTCGGATCAACCGAACAACTTTTTTGGCGTAATGAGCTGTTAGCATTTAGCAAGCTTTCCAGGGTTCGAACTCTGCCACTTACGGAAAGTGCATTTGAACTAGTTGTGCGGAGTACGGGCGATTGTTGCATGCCGGAGTGATTTTGTGATCGAGTAAGTTTGCAGATAGAGAGGTGTCACGTGTTCAGCACATTCTTCATGAATCAATGTATTGACAATAACTGGAAAAATTTTATTTCACAAGCCATACAGGAAACAGCACTTTAGAAGCTGGAAACAAAACATCAACATTACACGAAAAGTACAGCTCAGATGTAATATGAACAATTAAATGTCGAGAAAATCAACTTTTTATTTGAAAAATATCGATGGATTATTTTACAGTTGCTCATATCTGAAATAGAAAGAAACTACATACATTACTCGTCAACTTTTTTTTGAACATCGCCAGGGTTTCGAACTCATTAAAATTCTGCTATGCAGAATCTAGAATTCAAATATGAATAATTCAAAAATATCGTTAACAAACTGGATGCTTTTAGATGGAATCGTTTCAACTGATCTCAACGATTGCTGCATATTCACAGCTCTTCCGTTCGTTTGTTCGTACAAGTGCATTTCGAAGATTATTATTTTACATAATTGCTTTCATCAACAATACGAGATCTTGAGATTTTTGCATAAATTCTTTATGGCAAATATTGCTGAAAATGAATACCTGGACATAATTGATGTATAAAATCAAAATGAGTGAATCAAATTATCTAAAATGCCCTGTTTTAACACATCCCGAAATCCTGGGATTTTTCATAACGTAAATATCGGGATTGAGATTCAAGAGTTAGCATTCAGAACTGAACACTTTAAAGAGGAAGGCAATGCCGCTCATAGATCCTTATGCAAACTTCAATTCGCTACCAAATATGTGAAAATGAAGAGAAACCAGTGTGCAATCCACAAATTTAAAACCTGATCAAATGAAAAAAAAAGACACCTCAAACATCCTTCATTCCGTTGATTGATTATCGTCACAGTTGGCGGTAATTTCAGCAAATGTTCCCCTCCTTTCCTATCCTCTCACCCAATTTCCACTTCAACAATATTCTCAACAGAACAATTTGTATTCTTATTACGAACAATGTATGCCTCTATGATCATTTAATCAACGCACTGCAAGTAACCAAGATGATAATAATATATCTTATTGCTGTTACAGTTTAATGTGTATTGTATTTTTATATTGCATGAAACATTTTCCCTTTACTATCTTTACAATCTGAAACAGTTCACGTTGATTCACTTCGTTTATCAATCTCTTTTCTGCACAGTTGTTTATATTGGTGACGATCGATTTCTAGTGAAAAAATTCTTTTATATATGAGGGGATTTCGAAGTGCTACTGAAATCATTATTGAATATATCATATTAACTGAAATGCATCCTTACCGTTGCAATTCGACTTATTATTACTGTCAGTGATTATTATTACGAGCTGTCATTACGTTTTTGCTTCAGCTAGAGACGATAACAAATAATAATAAATGTCATTTTAATCATTGATAATAATAATAATTGCATTGCACAAACAATACTAGATAATGATAAATGCATTCAGTAATTCAAAGCAATTTCATGAGATCAACAATGATGAATCACTAAATCAGATACGAGAAAACAAAACGAAGCACACAAGCAATGAATGGACTGGCCGACTTAACTTTGATATGAACAATGATAGAAGTGAATAATCGAAGTAGAAAACTTTGCGATAAACTGCGGAATTTTTTACAGTAATGATAAACGAGAACTGGACTATTCGCCGTGTCGTACAATAACGAACAAAACGTTGTTTGTTGCGTTGCACAGAGCAATTTGATGGGCATTTCATTGTGATTTAATAATCAAAATGCACGATGAATCATGCAATATCGTAATTACACGAAAATGCTGTCATGAGCGATTACATATATCACATAATCTATCAACAAGAACACAAATGTATCTGCAATAAAATTTATCCATAATGAAATCAATCAATTTCAACTGATCAAATGAAAGCGCTGAAAAATGTATACGATTTCTTCGAATTACTTTCGAATGTTTTCGTCTCTCAGAAAGGAATTGCCGCTTTCATTATTTGTGAATATGCTTTCTCACTGCTATTATCTTATCGTTGTTGCTATGCATAATTTCAAACAAACAAATCTAACTCTCAATTTCCGAGTTATTCTATAACTGGCTCACAAAAAGCTTGTTGCAACCAGCACTGAATATAATTAATGTCTTTGAAATGTTGATGACTGATATGTTAGCTTACGTTTCTTACTGGTATATGTGTCATAAGCATGCTCAACTGAATCATCCTCGGAGCGACGTCCATATGTTGCATAAAAATTTTTTTGCTCCAACTCTCCTTCTACTAGCAATCTTTCATCGATTTCACCAACAATTACAGGCGTACACGTGCCAGTGCCGGAGGTCTGATCGTCATCCTCATCGCTGTGATGATATTGCAGTAAAACTTTTGTTGCTGGACTCAAAATCTTTGTTTTGGGATACGACGACGATGACAATGTGGCAGCAATCGTTTGAGAAGCAAAAGGAGGATTATTTGTTGTATTATTAATCATATTCGCATTTATTAAGTGTTGTTGCTGTTGATTTGTTAGATGATGATAATGGTGATGCAGTGCTACTGAAGCCGTTACAGGTGAGGCTGCCACAGTGACTGGCGGAGATGGTATTATATCTGGCATCCACTGATGATAATGATGAGCATTATTGCGATGAATGGCAGTAGTTGAATTATTCACATGCTTTAAAGTTGAGCTTGCACTCCCTGAATCATAATCAGTGAACGAGCTCTGCTGCAGCCGTTGCAAGTGCTCTCGAACTTGAGCTTGAGGTGACTCTCTGAATGGCGATAATGATTTAATGTTAGCCGCAACGTCGTATAAATTCATCGTTTTTGAATCTTCGTTATCCTCATCTTCTGCAATAGTGGCATTAATATTAGTTTTATTATTACTGTTGTAGTCATCTGCTGTTAAACACACGTCATACATTGCACTGAATCTCGTCATTAAACTCTCATTAGTCAATAAGTTTGTGGTACGAATTGATATTATTATTATCATTGAATAAATTAATTTTGTTAAAGTGCTTATTATGCTGGCTAGCAGGAAATGATGAGAAGGTTATCCTCCGACAAAACTTTTTAGAGTTTAGAATTCGAAAACAAATTGCTTTCGTCGCTACTTATGTTTTTTTTCAGGCAAATAACCGTCAGAGTGCAGAAATGACCAAAAAGCATTTATTTCATCATCTGAAAAAATTGAGTGTCCATGCTCACTCAGGCCGAACGATGTATTAAGTATATGTGGTCGTGTATGTTGAATTAGTATGTTGGTATTATTTCATGTTATCATTAGAAATTTGCGGCATGCTATGCGACTTGATTTATTTTGGAGCCAGGCTTGCACTCTTATGAATGTCACAGCAAAATTTAGAAAACATCTGTTGAAGTAGTGACGCAACGATGGATTACCACGACAGACAGAACTCATTTTTGGATTTTGCACAGGCGATTGCGAATAATTAATATATACTTTCAGCCTGCCTGAGGATAAAAAGTCCACTTTTTAGGCAGTGAACTTCACGATTTTTGACATTTTTCCACACTTTGATAGTTATTTGTAGAATAATTGTACATAACTGTGAAAAAAGTCTGTTTCAGTATTCTGTGTATAAAACTACACCAGAAAATGATATTTGCGTAATTTGTTTTTGTTAAACAGTTTAAAAAAAATGAATTTAGTGTTGGTATCATTATTATCAATAACTTCATCGTCATTACTATCGATTCTTGTATTGTTACACCAAAGTTGTTGGGTTAGAATTTTATGATTTCAGGTAGAAAATTGACAATGATAAAAAAAACGAAGATGAGCTTATGAACATTTTGCAAACCTTGATCTGGATTAGGATCACCTAATAAAGGTGAATGAGAATGCGGATCTGCTGAACTTGCAATATCCAGACCAGCAATATTGACCGTTTTCGGCTGTTGCTGTTGCATGGTGGTCATCATATCATTTAACCACATTTCATTCGAACCACTCAACGCTGAATTCACACTCTCACGTGTAAAATAATTACTCCATAAGAAGATATACGCTGATAAAATGACAAGCAATATATTTGTGCCCGCTTCAACCATTGAATTCACTCCACGATCGTACAGCACGAACAATCCAACGGCGTTGTACGCTAGGCACATGACCGTCTGAATATGATTCATTAGTAACAAAATCATCCTCTTTACAGTTATAAACGCACTCTATATCACAAATGTACAATAATCACTTACAAGAATTAGATGAAGAAGAATTGTTTTACGTGGTGAAAATTTTGTAACAATTAAATCGAACTGCTTCTTTGTAGAAATCAGAAGTGAAGTTAATGACGCATACAAACTCAACTGAAATTATGTTATGGTTATTGTTACTTTTATTATTACTATTTATCATCATTACTATTATTATTTATTATTATTGCATCGTTATTCATCATTACTATTACTATTTATTATTATTTTATTATTATTATTAATTATTATTATTATTATTATATTATTATATTATTGGAAACGCATTGTGGCCAGTAACGTCAACAACGTTCGATAGCCTGGCCGATTCCAGTATTCCAGTATTATTATATTATTATTATATTATTATCATTATTATTATAAAATTATTATTATTATCATTATTATTATTATTATTATTATTATTATTATATCTTTATTCACCATCACTATTATCATTATCTAACAACTCACCAGTATGAGTAACATAACCGGACTCGTTAAAATCCAAAACAACCATTCATCAACACTCAACGAACAACTCGGTGCAAAGAAGAATGTGAACAGCGATAGCATCACCGGTACTATTATGCCGATGAGCAATATCATCGTAAAACTTCAAATTAAAATATTAGTAAATTAGAAGTATCATCAAAGACTTCAAAAACATCAAACGACGTCCATCTTCAAGCCATATGGACTCACCTCAATCAAGCAAGCTAATAGCTACGATCATTAAGAAATGAATTTATAGATTCATCAAAACAAAACAACAACAGCTGAAAAAAAAGCTTTTTAATTTACAAGTGATCTTTCAAACGTATGACTAAAAAATAACTTACTTCGGCTGTGTATTGCCGTCAACGAATAGACAATAAATACGAAGTGCATATAAAAAGAGCCACGCAAACAGAGCACATGTACAGAAACTTAGAAGAGCGTTTCGTAGTGGACAGAATACCTGAAAGGTTCATTGTTTATTTGATTGTTTTGTGGTGTTCATGAACATTATTCATTCGTTATTCACTCACCGTTGTTGACGGTATACGATAGATGAAGAAGATTGCAGAAGCGTCCAAAAGAAACGCTACAATGAAACCAAATCTTATCAAACGAGTACGAATCGGTGCCGGACGCCAAAGTGTCGACACGGCTGCCAACAGAATAAGTAACAGAGCGAATGCAGCCGACAGCGGAGCCGTATAGGGGATTGAATGAGGCAACGTGAAACGTATCTGAATAAAACGAAGTGCTATATGTCAACAGCGGCATTAGTGGTTATACTGTGTAACGCAATTCGATACCGGTAAACAAATCAAATTTGAACTCTCGCATAATATCATTCATACAAAATCAGTAATAATTAGGCTGTGACTAAAGAATAAACATTTCAACACTAACTGAAAAGAAAAACATCTCGAAGAATGTCATACTACTCAAAGAATTTAAAAGAGACATTTGAATTAATCAGCTTACCAATGCACCATTATCAGCCCTCATGAACAGTGTAAAAACACCGCCACTATTCGCAAATAACTTATGATTATAACTGTCAGTAAGATCAAAACGACATATGGCGTGCGTCTCATTAAGTCCGATTAATGTTGCACTTTCCGTTGTCCATTTTGTATTATCGTTGCTAATGCCATCGGTGCTCAGTAAATCATTCAAGGCAGATGATGACAGAGTTCGCGAAGAGGATTCAATTCCAGATAATTTGTTAACGGCTGATGGTGATTTGCGAGCGTCAGCTAATGAGGACAGTCGATCATCGTCGTCAGTGTTCGAGAAGAAACCGTCTCGCAGTCGAACGCATTCTGGATATCGCCAACCATCACCGCTGTTTTCCGCAAGAATTGGAACGGTCACTTGAATCGATCTACGATGATTCGCATAACGATTCTCACTTCGTCGTTGTTCCATAAAAATCGATTCCAAATGCGGTTGCTTTGCAGCACCAACAACATTAGAAGAAGCAGTTGTTGTCATCTTATCCTGATTCTCGTTCATAGTGATCATTATAATCGGATATTCACATCCCGCACAGTTTGCTTGCGTTAATACGCTGTAAAAAATCGTTGTTATCGCTTTATGTTGCTGCCTAACGTCAACTTCAGTCAACGGCAGCTCTGATGGCGCCGTATACAGCAATCGCAGTTCCATACCACTGAGAAGACGGCGACGATTTGCATCTTCAGCTTGAACTGCAATTCTCAAAGCTTGAGCTTCATATCGCTGCCGATGCGGACTGTGACGATGATGATGGTGATGCTCCCAGGCTTTAAGGGTTCGTTTTGATGGTGAACGATCAAGACGTAATTCAGCAGCAACACCACTACTACTCCTATCATTCGCTTCATTATTGTCATAGTTGACGTTGTCGTCAGTCAAAAATCGATCAGGACTTGGCTCACTGGCTAAAAATACTACGGGTTCGACTAGATTTTTGTGGCGGACAACTGGAAGTAAGAATTGATCTGAAGCCAGAGCAGTGATCGCAGTGGCTGTATGATGATGACGACGAGCCATTGATGTCGCAGAAGAATCAATTGAATCGAGATGATGCCGTCGGTCGTTGCTCCAGCGCGGAAGACGATCAATTGCAAATACTGAAAAATAATTTGTGCGTCAACTCTTTCTTGTCGAATCATACAACAGAACGTGTATGTAGATCACAACTAGGAACATGTGACCACTGGTCAATCTAGATGTAAAAAAAGGAAATAAACATAGTGAACTATGCCAACTTAAATATAAACCACTGAAAATAATCAGTTCAAATTTAATCTCGAACTATAAGCATTCATGCAGCATAGTGCCACCACATCGAGCATAATTCCGACTCGAAGAGAGCCACCTAAGCGAGCACACTGCCACTGCAGATTCATTGTGTTCGTTGACTAACCTAGATTATCGCCTGAATAGAAGAACGTTCCTAGAAATGGTGCTCGTTGATGCACAGTCCGAAGATGGTCACCTAGACGAACTGTTGCTTTCACGACTGTTTGCAAATAATCCAGAGCCGGATTCGCCGATGTGCCGATCACAGCGGCCAAGTTGTTTAGCGATTTTAGCAAATTTGTTGTGAATTGTTCAGTTCTGAAATAAATAAAGTAGTGATTGTTGAAGAAAAAAATAATAAAAGCGATTATAGATGAAAGGAAAAACGCCGAAGAGAACATATCCATTCCAGCACCTTATAAAGACATCAATTTTAATAACAATAGAACTAGCCATTATAATAATAAAAATAATAACGTAATAGTATAATAACAATTATTGTAATTGTAATAATAACATAATATAATAATAATAATAAATGTAAAATCGCAAGTCAAACAGCGTTGAGAAAAGCTATCAATTGTGATAATAATGATCTTGAAGAGGCTTATTTAGGAAATGAACACTAGCCGGTCGAGTGAATGAATAATGTTTTTACTAGAGCAACTTAAAAAGATGTCCTTGCGAAACGTACTTCAGATGCAAACTTAAATTGCCGACAGTCTCAGAAATGATGAGTTTATGCAGCGCTCTATTCGCGATATCAACGTTGACACCACGCAATGTCCAGTGATCACTAGTCGCATTCGCTAACTGCTCTACCAATTCCAAGCTTAGGTCTGCGTTCATTACCTTAAATTTCGAAGTTATGATGACAATAATAATAACAGTTAAAAATAACAATAACAACCTTTGCATAAGAAGGATGTGTGCAATTATAGTTGTCCACTGGCAACCATCTACCATCCATACCACATTTTCGTAACGCCATTCCACTTTCATCAAATGGACAACTCTACAATAATAATAATCATAATAAAAATAATTAACAATAATGATAGTAATAAGAACAACATAATAAATATAAGGACAAGGATAATGATTTGCTAATTGTAAGGATAAGACCAGTGTCGAACGAAACAGCAACCTGTCTTGCGATTGCACCATACACTGTAGTTGGCCACTGTATTGCAGAATCAATCATCGACGGGCATCTATTCTTAATGCTTGAGCACTTCAGCGTGCTACGATTCAGAAGCTGTCTCTCATCGGTGCAACGATCACAACGTCGTCCTACAGCTTCACCCGTACACTCGCATTGTCCCAGCGTTGAGCATGCCGTGCTCAACGCACCAAAGCCACATTCACATGGTCGACAGTGGTCCAGCCAATAATATTTACCAGTCTACAAATAAACTTCTTATCAAAAAAACCTTTTTTTTGACAAATTGGTAGTTTCAGAATGGAAATTTTTTGAAAAATATTTGGACTCCTTCTGAAGTTGAATCAGTCACTAACCTCACACAAACATGCACCATTGTTTGGGTCACACTGCTTGATGAAGCCTTTCCTCGTATCGCAATCACATAGTCTACACCTCGGAAAATGGCCGTACCATCCTGGTGGACATTTTTTCAGTGCAGCTTTTCGCTCACAGTTGTGCCCCGTAAAGCCTTCAGCACATCGACACTCATAACCTGATATCATAATTTTCTATCATAAGTTCAGATTCGACTGGTTCATGCATACAATCTCACTTATTAGACGAATGATTGAACATATCTAGCCAAGAATTTTATTGCTTGAAATATCAAAACCTCTCTAGATGTACACATTCCGTTCCTCATATTCACATGCATAAAAACATGATTCTTTTCTTTACTTTACTAACTAAACGTTATGTTTCAGCACAACGCTACGTACCGTTAGTAGTGTTGCTGACACGTAAACACTGCCCATTATTTGAGCATATTCCTCGCAGTAAACATATATCCATACAGCTATCACCAATATAACCTGAACGTCAATCCCAATGTAAAAGTTATTAATTGACAACAATCACAGCAATACAATCAAAACAATCGAATATAAATCAGTCAACGAGCAACTACTTAACCTTTTAGGCAGTCACAACGGTGACGATCCCAATCACGGTTGCATCTGCTATTACGTGGACAGATATTAGCTTGATCACATTCATTTCGTACCTTCAATTATTATTAACTACTATCAAAACCAGAAAGTGAAAAAACACAACTGTAACAATAACAGTAATAATAAACTACAATACAGAAAGAAATAGAGAGTGTCCTTAAAGTTTTAACATATCAATATTGATGGCAATGTACAGCTACAGCATAGGGTTCATATGAACCTTATAAACGCATCAAGCATTGCATACATTACAAATCATACTGAACATGGTATTCATCAACAACATTCGTATTCAACAAAATTTTGTTGTCGAGAGTTTTATTTCACTTGAAAATATGCACATTTCTAGTGCGATTTTATGAGCGCCTCCTATAGACATGCAACGAACCTGACAATGCGATTCAACTCGAAGCTGCTCAATAATTTTCGTGCGTAGACCATTGAGTAAAACATTGCGCAAACAGCCTTCAAAGCGTTTCGGATAGCTCATTGATGGTGCCAATCCAGAGTACATCTTTCGAATCCGTCGATATGAATTATCGGTTGATATAGTGATTAGTGGAAAATGCTGCAAGTTTAAACACAACAAATCATTCAGCAATCAAATTCGATGAATACATCAAAATAAAACTGTACTTTCATTAAAACAGCAAACCTTTTTAAAAAGATGATCAATTGAAAGACTGAAGACACCATTTTGTTGAAGCGAAATTGAAATCGCCTTAAATTTCCCATCTGCTAAATATGGATATTTGAATAGGAATTGACGTTCACCAAATTTCAACACGCCATAACCTTGGCTGATCTGCAGAAAAATAAAAATATTCAATGATTAATGTGGAACATGATAATAATAATAATAATAACAATAATAATAATAATAATAACAATAATAATAATAACAATAATAATAACAACAACAATAATAACAACAATAATAATAATAACAATAACAATATAATAACGACAATGATTCTGACCGAAAAAACAATGAATTGTGAACGCAGCGCAAATTCGATGGCTATCACTTGCGTATCACGCTGACGAGTGCGAAACTCGAAGGTAACATTTTGGAAGACTTCATTTCGTGCGATACGCCATGATACATATGATTCCTCATCATCAAGCATCAAATATTTCGCACTGTCAGCTAGAAATCAATGGCTGCGGATTATGGCAACAATGACAACTATAAAAACAATAACGATGAATAATAATAATAATAATAATAATAATAATAATAATAATAAAACCAATAATGATACATAAGCATAACATTTATTACCAGATCTACAAGTAAGCGGTTGTGAGGTGATATGCAGTTGATGTTCACATCTGCAGTGATGACCATTCCATTTGGGAACGCATTTACTAACTGGAGGACATGAAGCATTTGGTGAGATGTTGGTGCTGTTGTGAACGACAACAACACACTCGTTGCGTTTTTCATGACAACCTGCTTCGACTGCTTTACCAACTTTTATCCATTCAGCATAATCCGAAAAATCTCGTAAATGACCATCCAAACTCAAATTTGCGATACAACCCGTGAAAGCATTTTGATGAGACGAGTAGAGAGCACGGTGCAACTGTTTTGATGAAGAGGCTGGATTATTGCTGCTGATGGTACGATTCGACAATTTCGATTTGATGCCATCGTTATCAAAAGATGAAACAGCGAGATCGCCGATGAAACTGCTCGCTAAATTGTCACCATTAGTTGTAGGTCTGGCACCCATGTAAACGATCGGCAAAACGTCCAAGAAACGATGACATGTAACTGCACCATCCGAGCATCTGAAAGCGCATTCTTGGCATAAATGAAGGATGATATTCGCAGATCAATCTCTTCCATACCAGTTAAAACTACTCATGAACATCGAAGATGTAATACACTGAATGCACATCAACTGTTCATGATTTATTATACAAAAACGAGTGATAGCGTTCTTAAATTCACAAACGACAAAGAAATACCTACAAAAATGCACTCAAATAAAACGATTATTCATAAACAGAACTAATTTATTGCACACTGATTAATAATCTAAAACTTTTACATACTTTTGTGGCAATGCTGTAATTAATTCGCAAGCACATTTGCGATAACCAGTTGCATTGCTTAATCGCAATGAAACAAACGTTTCACAATCGTCTAACGACAAGATAAGCTTCTAAAATAGTTACTTATAAACATATATTATACGAATAGATGCACATGAATAAACTGTTATTCCTGGAAAGAATATGTTACCAATACACAAATGAATACGGATAGAAATTAATAGAAGTGATGATAAAATATAATGAACTATCGCATAATCCTAATTATTAGATCGTGAGTTGATTTTTTTTTTTGAAATCATAGTTTTAGTTTTTAGATTAGTTAGCTTTCATATATCAGTCCTTCAAACGGAAACTTCATTCCAAACGAGTATAAAATGGTATCAATAATTTACAAATTATATGAAAATGAACTTAAATATGTACAAATCAAGAATTGTATTCTTTTCATAGGAATGAATCGACAAGAATTGTAATTTTATCACTGACTCACATTTTCATAAAAATCAATCGTAATTTTATGCCACTCTCCATCATTAATACGATTTTGTTGCCAATCCTCCATTCTCATCTAAAATCACTCTCAATTTATAGAGTATTCACATTCGAGTCGCTCGTATTCAAACTCAAAAGTTGATCAAACGTTATAAAGTTAGTTCTTTATGCTCAAAACTGACGAAATTACATGTAAAGAAAGGAATCAATCCTTTGTGCTGTCTTTATGTTCGCCAGTATTTGCTTACAAGGGCCTCTGCATCGCTCCTAAACAATGCGCATTTCTCAAGCTCAAAATTTTGATTGTACTCGAACGCAAGTTAACTGACGCTTGCCAACTCATCAACTTACCATCAAATTCTGATTGCGCTTAATTCAAGTTGCACTTGAGCACTGCTATGTATATGAGGATGTTTCTATCTCGGCGACATTTTATCACTCACTTCATTCATAAAGTCAGCAAAAACAAGCTATAAACTCACCTCTGAAACGCCATTACCAAGCGAGAGACGAGCGCCAATTAAGGCATTCTCGATGAATACTTCCAAAAAATCCGCTTTGATATCACCCAAAAACATTAGCACGCTATCACTACTTAGTATTGTCGCAATGCTGAAACAAAACGATTTTTGCTGCTTTCGTTTAATCACCTGAACACGTACGCTGATCAAAGAAATGAGAAAAACTCGACAGTCGCAAAAACTTAGCGAAACAACTTTCTCTCAGAACGACGGAGTGAAAAGAAGCGAAAAATCATTGGAAAACAATCGCACGAAATGAATTTCTGACGATCATTGTAACCAAAATGCTCACAGCTACCAGCGAATACATCGATCAGACCAACCTGAATTCAATTTTGAATTCCATCCGTGGAATCGCATTTTGTGTTGGTATCGCTAAATAGCCGTCGCCAACAAATTTCAACGATCTTAATCGACAAGCGTCATCGGTGTCGTGTGCAGCCCACTTGCAGTCCACACACCGTACTCTTCTCCGTTCATCAATTTCGCATCTCGAATTCGAATAACACGAATTCGGAAGGCACGTATCACTGAAGAGCGTTGCCTCACAATTCACCCCTAAAATCAAAATAAAACTAAATTATGTCTGTGTTGAGTGTGCTTTACTTTTTAATTTCTCTCTTATCAAACCTCAACAGAGTCTCACATCCATCCTAAAAATACACCACTGCCATAAGGTATCTTTTCTTGCTTGGTTTTGCCATATATAAATGAATGCTCATTAGCAATTTTATTCATAAGTGTTTTGTGCCATATGACAAACAAGGTGTTCATTATTATTAACATTATAATTTGTTCAAAAAAGAGCTACAAATAATGTTACAAGTGTTTCGTTAATTATTCATGCTTTTAAAATTCTGTTCCATATGTATAACATGGAGTTGCAATACATTGTACACAATTTATAATACAACAAAACAGTCATTGAACCGAAGTATTATAATTCTGTTCTGTATATAGACATCTATACTGTTTGTTCATCGTATGCATACGTTTGGTTTATGCTTATTGCATGCTATTAATAAATATAAGGTAACTAAATATAAGCTATGAGTGATGTAAACGCCCCATCAATCATATAATAACCCCACCCCTGAAAGTCCAACTGCCAACTAAACAAGTCTAACGACTGACTCACAGATCATTCAGTGAATATGTTAATTACTCAAGGAATTAAGCGCACCACTACGAGGAGGTCGCATGCTAATATCCGTGTTTAAATATCCAGCGATAATGAGACAGATGATTGATGATAACCAAAAGTGAATTCAAAAGTCCCATTACCCTGCTTTAGCGTAATAAATGAATGAGAGAGATATGAACCGTTAGGGCATGCAATAAACGTCACAAATATAGCATGATAATAATACGTAATACTTGCTATAAATGCTTTGTAAATATGTACGTATCATGCTCAGCAAGTCGAATGAATAATGCATATAATATCCGTCCAGTTGCTGACTGCTTGCCTATTTGTATCCCATTCTCATTTCATATCCATTTCTCGGCATATCGGAATGGATATATTAAAATCTGCATTAACTAACTATCGTTGACCACCCACAAATCAGTTGTATAATAGTAGATGAAAAGTTGAATGAATAAAACTTAAATCATATGTCCTTTTCACTGCACGAAAAGGATAACAAATAACAGTTGCAGTAATAACACCAACACCAATAATATTGGCAACAACAATCACACCAATAATAGTAGTAACAGTAACTGATAACAACATTACTGCTATCAATGAAAATAATAATGCTTAATCTAACAACAGTAAGAGATATCTAATTGTTTACTTTTCTCCACACAAACAAAAATAACAGTTTAATGTATCGAAATCATATCCCCTCCTCTCCTTTATCTTCTTTAAATCCATCCCATTTAGGACGATAGACTGATCCGAGCGTTGAGGATGTACATAAAGTCGGGAAAGAACACAAGATCAAAAAGATATACCGAAAGAAATAACATTCATTATATAAAGACTGATTAACTCAATGATTGTTTTGCTGCTTTGTCATTTTAGTGCATTCACAGATTAGCACTGCATATAAACAGAACCAATGAGAGGTTTGAGTGGCACTCTTTATCATAAAGCTCAATGAGGCTTACGATAATGGCAACAAAACAAGCTGACGAGATGAGAGGCGCAATCGAGCAGAACAAATGATCATAATTACCCGATAACGTTATCGTATTATCGGGCAAACAGCAATGTCGCATAAATTGGCTTCATGATGGGTCTCTTCCGCACTTTCAAGTTCCGCTCTGCTTAGATGTGTGCGCCAGTTATCGGCTAACTGAATGTTTGAAGTTTTTCTTCAGAAGATGGCACGACATAAACAATCACTCGTATAATTTGGCTTCATTTCATCACAGCAACAATGACAACTATAAATTGCAACGAGAATACGTGAATGTATAATAAGCAAGATGTAACTGCTTAAAAGACTACGGTAGAATTTATTCGATTTCAGAGCAGATGGTTTAGAACATCAGACAGAGTGGTTTCCATGAAGGATTTCACTGCTGCTATCTTCAGGTAATGGATACACTCCTTGTTCATTTACTTGCTGTGAAGCTGCTAGGCTCTTGGATTGCTTTTTACCTTTCGACTGGGCCTATCTGCCTTACAGTTCACTAGTGAATCATTCTTTAGAAGCATATTTTCTAGGGAATCATCTAGCATCTGTCTCACGAAAGAGAATAAATTTTTTTGCTTTAAGATGAACTATCTAGAATATTTGCATATCAAGCCAGTATCAAAATCAAATTTTCTAGTTGCCCTCTTCATCCATCGGTAAATGTTTGATTGTTATTGATGAAACAATTATGATAAACGAACATATCCTCAAATAGTCAATCAGTCAAGAACTGTTACATTATACCTGAACATACAATCTGTTTGCTTGCTTGTTTATTTATCCGTTCATTCGCTTCATTTCAACAATCCAATCAAAGAAATAATATATTCGAAAACGCAGATGAGGAAGAAGAACGACGATAAACGAACGAGGAAGGTCACAAATGCACGAAGACATCACGAAAAGCAAGCGGTCTTTAGGGAAATATTAATGTTTCGCAAAGACATGGATCGGAACGGCTACTGAAAGACAATGTACTGGAAATTATTCACTTGATTTTTTAGCGCCCGAAGAAATTCTTGTGGATCACATGACGGTTAACTTTAACTTCAACTCAACTTATTTGCATTATTCGCTTTAGTCTCTTCCATTTCTAAATCAGTCCAAAACTAATCTTGTTAGTTCATAAGTAAGATAATTAGCCACAGTGTGACATGCAATTTATCCACTCATCCAATCATCTCTCGACTCGTCCCATCGGGCCTGTTCAAATCAACAAGTCACGCACTTAATCACATAAATTATGGCTTTTGCTAATGCGATGGATCTGTTTTGGACTGAATTTGTTTGAGCACACCACAACCATTAGGACTGGATGGATATGGGGAGAGAGAACAAAGCTCAATTGCAAGATCAAAATACTACTGTGGATGGAATGAGAGAACTGATCAGATATACAGCCCTCAAACTGATGACAGATGTATATGGCGATAATATGACATATTTACATATCGCACATCATCCTAATCACAAGAAGGATTAAGCCTAATTTCTGAACCCCAGCAGAAACCCCTTAAGATATCGTATATTATATTACATTTAATAAATTTGGAGCATGCATATGCTACCTATGTCAATCAACGTAAGTATAGAGTATGGATAAATATAGCACATTATTTGACTCGTATAATGCTGATAATAACTTCTCCATTCAACATTAACTAGCATCACCATATTTCACGCTTTATATTCGCGAAATGAATTTACAAAAAGACACATAAACGAAATTCATAGACTTATTTCAACAACGTTGCAATTTTTAGTGATAAAGACAATATTACCTGACAATTCACCTCTACTGATGGCATTTTGCATGGAAACGAACGAATATGCGGATGAACAAATGAGCATGCGTTGCGATGCGCATTTTGGTAAGTAATAATAATAAT